CCGGCTGTCAGCTGATATGGTCAGGGGAGCGCCCTGGCATCAAGCGCCGCCGCCGCATAAGCCGATCAAGGAGGGCCTGGCTTGAGCCTCCTCCAAGATGGCCGCCGACCCTTTACACAGCAGCCGCCAGCTAGCACCTCCCAGGTATGCAGCCCTGCACCCAGAGCAGCCAAGCCATCCATGCACTTCTGAGGGTGAGTCTGATGCAGACACAGAGACCCCCATACACGCCTCCACACCTGACCTTACAACCCCCGACATACCGGCACGTTCTGAAACAATGCTGCACAAGGCCCTGAAACAGACCTCAGACCGCATTACTGACAAGCTATCCAGGGAAATCTGCGAGCTGGGGCAACGCACTGCAGACCTTTAAGCAGAGGGTGGATGAAGACCTTGACACCTCACTTCAATCGCAAGGGGATGTGCTTGACCTATTGCGTGACGAAAACATTACGCTTCAGGCGCGTTTAGAGGACTTTGAGAATCGGGCCAGACGTTCAAACCTGCGAATTCGTGGCCTCTCCCTGAGTCATTATTGATGTTCAGTCCACTGTTACTGCGTTATTTCTAGAGCTTGCCCCTGCTATTCCAAAAGAACGCCTTGAAATGGATTGGGTTCAAAGGGCACTATCTCCGAAACGCACCGATGGTCCGCCACGAGACATCATAGCTAAGCTTTATTTTCTTCCGAACGAAGAACGCAACTACTACAAGCTGCCCGCAACTCATCCCCGGACTGGAAGGAGGGGAAAGTGTCCGGACTGGAAGGGGGGGAAAGTGTCCGGACTGGAAGGGGGGTTCCGGGAAGGGGGGGAAGTGTTCAGGACTGGAAGGGGGGGAAAGTGTCCGGACTGGAAGGAGGGAAAGTGTTGGACTAGAAAGTGGGGGAAAGGAAAAGTGTACGGACTGGAAGGGAGGGAACGTATCCGGACTGAAAAGGGGGGGAAAGTGTCCGGACTGGAAGGGGTGAAAGTGTCCAGACTGGAAGGGGGGGAATTGTCAAGACTGGAAAGGGGGGAAAGTGTCCCCAGACTGGAAAGGGGGAAAGTGTCCGGACTGGAAGGATGAGAAAAGTGTCCGGACTGGAAGGGGAAGAAAGAAAGTGTCCGGAATGGAAGGGGGGAAAGTGTTTGGACTGGAAGGGGGTGCAAAGTGTCCAGACTGGAAGGGGGAAAAGTGTCCGGACTGGAAGGGGGGGAAAGTGTCCGTGACTGGAAAGGGGGGAAATTGTCCGGACTGGAAGGGGGGTCAAGTGTCGGTCCGAGGGTGGGATAATAGATGTCCGGACTGGAAGGGGGGAAAGTGTCCAGGCACTGGAAGGGGGGGAAAGTGTCCAGACTGGAAAGGGGGAAAGTGTCCAGACTGGAAAGGGGGGAAAGTGTCCGGACTGGAAGGATGGGGAAAGTGTCCGGACTGGAAGGGGGAGAAAGTGTCCGGACTGGAAGGGGGGAAAGTGTCCCGGACAGGAAAGGGGGTGAAAGTGTCCAGACTGGAAGGGGGTGTGGGAAAGTGTCCAGGACTGGAAGGGGGGGGGTAAAGTGTCCTGACTGGAAGGGGGTGAAAGTGTCCAGACTGGAAGGGGGGAGAAAGTGGGGGAAGGGGGGGAAAGTGTGTCTGGAACTGGAAGGGGGTGAAGTGTCCGGACAGACTGGAAGGGGGGAAAGTGTTTCGTGAAGGGGGGGATAGTGTCCCGGACTGGAAGGGGGGGAAAGTGTCCGGACTGGAAAGGGCTGAAAGTGCCAGGACTGGAAGGAGGGGAAAAAGTGTACGGACTGGAAGGGGGGGAACGTTCCGGACTGGAAGGGGGTAAAGGTCCGGGCGACTGGAAAGGGGGGAAAGTGTCTGGACTAGCAGGGAGGGAAATGTCTAGACTGGAAGGGGGGTGAAATGTCCACACTGGAAGGGGGGGAAAGAGTCCGGACTGGAAGGGGGTGAAAGTGTCCGGACTGGAGGGGGTGAAAGTGTCCAGACTGGAAGGGGGGGAAAGTATCCAGGACTGGAAGGGGGGGGGGGGAAGTGTCCAAGACTGGAAGGAGGGGAAGTATCCCTCACTGTAAGGGGGGGAAATGTCTAGACTGGAAGGGGGTGAAATGTCCAGACTGGAAGGGGGGTAGAGTATCCGGACTGGAAGGGGGTGAAAGTGTCCGGACTGGAAGAGGGTGAAAGTGTCAAGACTGGAAAGGAGGGGCGGAAAGTGTCCGGACTGGAAGGGGGGGAAGTGTCCAGACTGGAAGGGGGAGAAGTGTTCGGACTGGAAGGGGGGTGGGAAAGTGTCCGACTGGAAAAACAGGGAAAGAAAGTGTCCGGACTGGAAGGGGGGAAAAGTGTTCCGACTGGGAAAGGGGGTGAAAGTGTCCGGACTGGAAGGGGGGAGTGTCCGGGAAGGGGGTGAAAGTGTCCGACTGGAAAGGGGGGAAAGTGTCCGTCTGGAAGGGGGGAAAGTGTCCGGACTGGAAGGGGGGGAAATGTCTAGACTGGGGGAAGGGGGGTGAAAATGTTCCAGGACTGGAAGGGGGGGAAAGTGTCCGGACTGGAAGGGGGTAAAGTGTCCCGGACTGGAAGGGGGTGAAAGTGTGTCCAGACTGGAAGGGGGGGAAAGTGTCCGAACTGGAAGGGGGGCAAAGTATCCAGACTGGAAGGGGGGGGGGGGGAAGTGTCCAGACTGGAAGAAGGGGAAAGTGTCCAGGACTGGAAGGGGGGGGAAAGTGAACAGACTGGAAGGAGGGAAAGTGTCCTGGAGGACTGGAAGGGGAGGAGAGTGTGTCCGGACTGGAAGGGGGGTGTCAGACTGTCCGAACTGGAAGTGAGGGCTGAAAGTGTCCGGACTTGAAGGGGGTGAAAGTGTCTAGACTGGAAGGGGGGGGGTTGAACGGGCCGGACTGGAAGGGGGTGAAAGTGTCCAGACTGGAAGGGGGTGAAAGTGTCAAGACTGGAAGGGGTGGAAAGTATCCAGACTGGAAGGGGGGAAAGTGTCCAGACTGAAAGGAAGGGGGAAGGGAAAGTGTCTGGACTGGAAAGGGGGGGGAAAGTGTCCGGACTGGAAGGGGGTGAAAGTGTCCCGGACTGGAAGGGGGTGAACGTGTCCGGACTGGAAGGGGGTGAAAGTGTCCGGACTGGAAGGGGTGAAAGTGTCCGGACTGGAAGAGGGGAGGTGAACGGTGTCCGGACTGGAAGGCGGTGAAAGAGTCCGTGAACTGGGAAGAGGGATAAGTGTCCGGACTGGAAAAGCTGGGGAAAAGTGTACGGACTGGAAGGGGGGTGAAAGTGAAGTGTCCAGACTGGAAGGGGGGGGGTGTCCGGGGGCCGGGGGGATGCTGTTCGGACGAAGGGGGGGGGGAAGTAAGTGTTCCGGGACTGGAAGGGGGGTGAAGTGTCCGGACTGGAAGGAGGGCGGGGAAAGTGGGGGGACTGGAAGGGGGAGGAAGTGTCCGGACTGGAAGGGGGGGAAGTGTGGCGGGGACTGGACGGGGGGGAAAGTGCCTAGGAAGACTGGAAAAGGGGGAAAAAGTGTCGGACTGGGAAGGGGGGTTGAAGTTGCCGGGAATGGAAGGGGGTAAAGGGGGACCTGACTGGAAAGGGGGGAAAGTATGTCTGGACTGGAGCAGGGGAGGGAAGTGATGTCAAGACTGGAAGGGGGGGAAATGTCCAGACTGGAAGGGGGGGGAAAGAGTCCGGACTGGAAGGGGGGTGAAAGTGTCCGGACTGGAAGGGGGGAAAGTGTCCAGAACTCCAGGAAGGGGGGGGAAAGTGTCCAGACTGGAAGGGGGAAGTGTGTCAAGACTGGTAAGGGGGGAAGAGTGTCCGGACTGGAAAGGGGGGGAATATCTAGGACTGGAAGGGGGTGAAAGGTGTCCAGGACTGGAAGGCGGGGGGTAGAGTGTCCGGACTGGAAGGGGGTGAAAGTGTCCGGACTGGAAGAGGGTGAAAGTGTCAAGACTGGAAGGGAGGGGCGGAAAGTGTCCGGACTGGAAGGGGGGGAAGTGTCCAGACTGGAAGGGGGGGGGAAGTGTCTGCGGACTGGAAGGGGGGGAAAGTGTCCGGACTGGCAAACCAGGGGGCAAAGTGTTCCGGACTGAGGAAGGGGGGAAGTGTCCGGCAACCCTGGAAGGGGGGGAAAGTGTCCGGACTGCGAAAGAGGGGAAAGTTGTCCGGACTTGGAAGGGAGGGAAATGTCCAGGACTGGAAGGAGGGTGAAATGTCCAGACTGGAAGGGGGGGAAAGAGTCCCGGACTGGAAGGGGGTGAAAGTGTCCAGACTGGAAGGGGGGGAAAGTGTCCAGACTGGAAGGGGGGGGAAAGTTGTATCCAAGACTGGAAAAAGGGGGGAAAGTGTCCAGACTGGAAGGAGGGGGGGGGGGAAGTGTCCTCGCGTGACTGGAAGGAGGGAAAGTGGCTTCTGGACTGGAAGGGGGGGAAAGTGTCCGGACTGGAAGGGGGGTAGACTGTGTCCGAACTGGAAGGGGGTGAAAGTGTCCGGACTGGAAGGGGGGTGAAAGTGTCCAGACTGGAAGGGGGTGAAAGTGTCAAGACTGTGAAAAGGGGGGGAAAGTATCCGGACTGGAAGGGGGGGGGAAAGTGTCCAGACTGGAAGGGTAGGGGAAGTGTCTGGACTGGAAGGTGGGGAGAAAGGAACAGACCTGGAAGGAGTGACAAGTTAAGTCTGACTGGAAGGGGGGGGGGGTAAGTGTCCGGACTGGAAGGGGGGGGAAAGACCTGTCCGGACTGAGAAGGGGGGGAAAATGTGTCCGGGACTGGAAGGGGGTGAAAGTTAGTCCGGACTGGAAGGGGAGTGAAAGTGTCCGGACTGGAAGGGGGTGAAAGTGTCAGAGACTGGAAGGGGGGGAAGAGTGTCCGGACTGGAAGGGGGATTCGAAGTGTCCGCGAGACTGGAAGGGGGAGCTGAAAGTGTCCCAGACTGGAATGGGGGGATAAGTGTCCGGACTGGAAGGGGGGGCAAAGCATCCGGACTGGAAAGGGGGGATAAGTGTCCGAACTGGGAAGGCGAAGTGTTGGGTTTATGCGGATTGGAAGGGGGAAAGTGTCTGGACTGGAAGGGGGGGAGAAAGTGTCCGGACTGGAAGGGGGGTGAAAGTGTCCGGACTGGAAGGGGTGGAAAGTGTCCGGACTGGAAGGGGGATGAAAGTGTCGGACTGGCAGGGGGAAAAGTGTCCGGACTGGAAAGGGAGGGGAAAGTGTTTCGTACCTGGAAGGGGCTGAAAGTGTCCCAACGGGAAGGAGGGGAAAGTTCCGGACTGGAAGGGGGGAAAGATTGTCCAGACTGTAAGGGGGTAAAGGGCCGGACTGTAAAGGGGGGAAAGTGTCCTGGACTGGCAGGGGGGCAAATGTATCAAAACTGGAAGGGGGAGGAAAGTGTCCAACTGGAAGGGGGGTA